TAGGGGGACAGCTTGAGGCTCTGTCTCAAAAAAAAAAGAAAGAAGAACATACTATAATGCAAGGTTGCCCCCAAATGTTTTTCTTTATTTTATCTATTGTATCTTAACCACTTTTAATGTTCTCTTTTCCTCCACCCTAAATAAAGGTAAAAGCACTTTGGTTTTCTCCTTTTTTTTTTTTTGAGACAAGAGTCTCACTATGTCACGCTCAATAGAGTGCGGTGGCATCACAGCTCACAGCAACCTCAAACTCTTGGGCTTAAGCAATTCTCTTGCCTCGGCCTCCCAAGTAGCTAGGACCACATGCCTAGTTGCTTTTTTGTTGCAGTTGTCGTTGTTTAGCTGGCCCGGGCCCGGATCAAACCCACCAGCCTCAGCCTATGTGGCTGGCACCATAACCAATGTGCTACAGGTGCCAAGCCTTATAGTCAGTGAATATTTATGACTTAACAATTACCCCAGTATCCTACATGAGAAATAATGAGGGCCCCCAAAGACACAAATAATACTTAAAAATATTTGTGACAAAATCAAGCATGTAAGGTGTTGTTTTGTGCATTTTAACTTGACTTTAATTCATACTTACTTCTCTGACTTCCACAAGATGGTCTGGAGGTAAGTGAGCTCTTTTGCTCACTGATTGCAGTTTGGAATGTCCAACATTAAAAAAAGAAATAGCATTCTGACTTGGTCTCCTCTGAGATATGGGAGAATTACCACTAGATGCAAGTGAGAAACTTCGTGACTTTAGAGGAGGATTATTCTGTTAGACAAAGAAAAACATTCTTCTTTTAAAACTCAGGTTCTCTAACCATGAAACTATCATACACTGAGGCTTACATATAGTTTTTAAAATTAAGTTAACTTCAGAATTAACTACAGGAGCACTTCTGATGGTAAGATTTCAGCTACTCAAAGTTTAAGCACTCACACATCCCAAAGTAAGCTGATAATTTATTTAGAAAATTTCCAGTTTTGTGCTGTCAATTTTTTTTCACATTTTACAAATATTAGAATAACAAAAAAATGCAACTTCTGTTTCTTAAATACCTGATTTGCACAAAAAGTGTACTCAGCAATATAATACATTTCCGGATGTAACCTAATATATTTGTTGGAACAAACTAGTACTTTCTGATCACTGTCAATGACTAAAATCTTGTAGTATGAGAAAAACTAGTGTGCTGAATTTCCTTAATTAACAATTTTTAGAAATTCACTTGGGGAAAACCACCAGGTAGAATGGAAAATAGTAAAAGTCAAGTTAGCACCTACATATCGAATCCTTTAAATGTGCTGCCCATGTGTTACTTCTTGGACCTCTTAACCTCAGATTTCAAGTACTGAAGACTCTTTTTTTTCTCCTTAAAAGATAAAAATCAGTTCCAAGAAGATATACAAATGACTGAGCAATAAGCACATGAACAGATGCCCCAGATGATTAGCCATCAGAGAAATGAAATCCAAACCACAATAAGACTCCATTTTACTTACATTCACTAGGATAGCTGTAATAATTTTTTTTAAAAGGACAGTAAGAAGTGTTAACAGGGATGTAGAAAAACTGGAACTCTCATACATTATTGGTAGAAATGTAAAATGGTGTGGCTACTTTGCAAAACAGTTTGGCAATTCCTCAGAAAGTTAAACATACAATTATCCTATGACCCAGAAATTTGATTCCTAGTTATACACCCTAGAGAACTGAAATTGTATGTTCACACAAAAAATATTAAACACAAATTTTCATGGCCAAAAAAAAAAAATAATAATTTTCATGGCAACATTACTCTATTATCTATAAAATGGAAAAAACCCAAACGTCCATAAGCTAATGAATGGATTAAAAAATGTGGTGTATCCATATTATGGAATATTATTCAGCCCTAAAAAATGACAAAAGTCCTGATAGGTGCAACAACATAAATGAACCCTGAAAAAATTATGCTAAACCAAACAAGCCACACACAAGAAACCACAAGGTTTCATTTATACAACATAATAAATGTTCAGAATAGACAAATGCATGGAAAGAGAAAATAGATTAGTGTTTGCCATGGGCTTAGAAAGGGAGTGACTGCTGGTGGGTATGAGTTTGATGGCAGGAGTTAATGAAAATGTTCTGGAATTAAATAGCTGCAATGGTTGCACAACCTTGTAAATATATTAAATATGATACTTTCATCTGGCCAGGCGTGGTTGCTCAGGCCTGTTGTCCCAGCACTGTGGGAGGCTGCAGCGGGTGGATCACCTGAGCTCAGCTAAGTTCGAGACCAGCAGAAGACCAGCATCAGCCAGAGTGAGCCCGAGTGAGACCTCATCTCCACAAAAAAAAAAAAAAAAAAAGCCATGCCTGCTGTAGTCCCAGCTACTTGGGAGGCAAAGGGCAAGAGAATGGCTAAAGGAAGAAAAAAAAATTAAAAAAAACCTCAAACTAAGATGAGTGAAAGCCAGTTAAAAGCAAAATTCAAAAAAAAAAAAAAAATGAATTGTCTTCTCTAGATCTTAGAAAATTTTTTGTTATTCTGAAATTTCATTATGATTTCCCTAAA